TTTTTTTTTTGTCTATTTCGGTTCGTTGTCTACACAACATTTTGCGAAGCATTGAGTAATTAACATTTTTCCCTGTACGCGTCATCAGTGGACGCTGTGTCCAGCGTGGCACAGCGGACAGCCTTGTCCCTGCCCCCAGCTGCACACCTGTTCGTCCAGCCCCCCGGGCCCACCCACTGCTTGGGTCAGAACCCCAACCCACACCGGCAGGAGCTCAGGACAGCCGTGCTTACTGTGCCCAGGGTGCCACCATGGCTGCCACAGGCCCTGGCCTCACTCTTCATCACGCACCACGGGTCGTGACCACCCCGTCGTCTGCAATGGTCCCCACCACTCTGCAAACCCAGCTCGAGGGTGGGCTCCTGGACTCCCAGATGAGCTACTGGTTCTCTCCCATTTGCCCTGCGCATCTCGGCACTTGGGGATCTTGGCTTTCAGGCTCCAGCTTCCAACACGAAGCCCCTTATCCCCCCTCCCTCACCCCTCCCCAGTTACTCTCCCACCAGCAGATCCACCCATTGCCCACCAGCTGAGAGGCAAGAGCAGACAGCATTGGGCTTCCTCCCATGTTGCAGCAGAGCCAGAGGGCCAGGAGAGGGGGGGTGGAGACCCCTAGGCTGAGAACACCCGGGCCTTCCAGCCCCACCTCCAACCGTCCTTAAGCCCTCCCTGCCGTCCATTCACCCCTGGTCCAGGCGCCGTCCAGACGTCCGTCCATCCAGTACAGATGCAGATTCAGCCATCCCTTCTTCCAGAACCTGCACAGACACCTGGCCCACAGAGGACATCAAGGCCCCACCAGAGAGGGACGTCACACAGCAAGAGCCACTGTGGGTGGCACCAGGTGACAAGAGCCCTCTCTGTCTCCCTCTTCCTGGCCGCAGCCCACCAGAGAAGAAAGAGACCAGAGGACAGAGCAAAGGGGGGCAAAGGAGCAGGCACGCACCACCCCCAGGTCCCTCCAGCAAGGCCCTAAACTGCTGAGGGGCAGGGAGGAAGTGGGTGTCCAATCAGAGGACAGTGAATTTGAGACTGGACTTCGTCATGTGTGACAGTGACAAGAACGTTCGCAAAACTGCCAGAAGTGTCACAAAGGCTGTGGATGGGGGGGCTGGGCGTGGTTGACGACAGTGGTTGGAGAAAATGAACCCATGTCACTTTCAGGTTTGTGAGTGGTGACTTTGGATCTGCAAGCTTGGGGAGAATGGAACCCGTCTGCAGTGAGAGGGAGGGAATCCTATGGAAGCCACCAGGAAGGGGGAAAGCCCTGGGTGATCAAGCAAGCGTGCAGGGAAGATCCGGGCAGGGGAGGACACGGGGTATGCCCAAAAGTTTCGGAAGAACAGACCTATGGCCCTTGACACGTTAAAGCGTGAGGCCTGATGTCACCCCGGTGACCTCAGGATCTTTAGCAGATCCTCTGCTCACAAGCATTTGCAAGAGTAGGATTTTGTAGAAATGGAGAAGGGGTGAAGTTCCACATTTGAGTCAGCACAGGACCAGGAGACTCACTCCGGAAGAAGCCAGAGCAGTGGGGGCAGGGCAAGTGTCGAAAACAGGAGCATCCAGGATCTCAGAAATCTCTGGAGGACTTCGGACTTCTACTGGGTGTGAAGCTGGGGGGTTAAAGCATCAACCCTGCCCTCGCTGCAATGTCTCCCTCACACGCAGCCAGAATAACTTTCAAAAGGCCAGTCTGACTGGGTTTTACAACACCGCCATGCCGAACCCCAACACACACACTAAACCCTTCACCTGCTCTCGGGTTAAAGACACACTTCCTGGCCTGGCCTCCAAGGCCCTGGGGGTCTGCATCCTGCCACACTCCAGATCTCTGCACTGCACACACACACACACACACACAGGTTGTCTTTCACACCTCGAAAGTTTCACACCCTGACCACAGGGCCCTTGCGCATGCTGTTCCTTCTAGAACTGCCCACCCCCCAGTTAACTAACTCACCCTGCAGGGCTCCACCCCAGACCTCCTCACAATGTCCTTCCTCTAACTCGGAACTCATCTCTGGCACACACTGGCAAAGAGGAATGGAAAAACCGCAAGATGGCTTAGAGTCCACACCTTAGACCAATCCTGATTCATGCCCTGCCACTGGGCCCGCCTTCCCTGAGTATGTCTTCATTTGAATCCTTACCAACTTGGGAGATTGTCATCAAGGGGGAAAGTGGATGGCTGTTGAGTAGACAACCGACATTATCCACCATATTACCATGCCCTCCATACTCTCCTACTATTTAACAGAGGTGGAGGGGGCTGTTAGACATTTCTGGAAGGTGAGGCATGAGCAGGAGCATGAATGCACTTGCCACGTCTGGGGGCTGGACCCAGACTGGCCTGACAAGACTGGGGGATGTGTGAGTGATCGTGGAGCCTCACTATTGGCTTGTTTTTAACGCAGGTAAACTGCAGGTCAAATCACATCCCCTGGAACACACACACACACACACACACACACACACACACCCGCACAGCAGAACTTCTCACCTCGTTTAGCAACAGGTAAGGCTTTTTGTCTCACCCTCCAACAAAAGCCTGGTTAAGACTAGGGCACAGTCGTAGACTAGTGGTGCCATCCAGCTCATTAAATCCAGTTTTTGCTTGCACGCCTCCAGTGATGGGACACTCCACCACCTCCCACGGGCGCCCATTTCACCAACGCCGATCCATCAATTAAGCTTCATGTTAGTCGGCATATTACTACTGCTTACAGAGTCTGTTTGGGATGATGGTAAAAGTACTGGAGGTGGGCAGTGGTGAGAGTTACATAACATCGTGAATGTCCTAAATGCCACTGGACTGTATGCTTAAAAATGGTTAACATGAGGAATTTCATCTTGTGTATATTTTACCACAATGCAAAAAAAGAAAAGAAAAAAAAAAGCACCGCCTCTAGTCTTTGCCAACTTACAAGCATGACTACTTTTCAAGTGACCTTTAAAAAGGTCACTTAGGCCAAGTGGCTTCCAAAGGCTCTGCTGAGCTACCGGCCTCTCGGCTTCAGGTCACCATCTTGAGGGTCCGAGTTCTAGCCTGGCCTTGTGTTGACAGCCTTAGAGCCTTGAGCCTGCTTCAGATCTCCCAGGTCTCCCTCTCTGACCCTCCCTGTTCATGCTCTGTCTCTCCTGTCTCAAAAATAAATAAAACGTTAAAAAAATAATAATAATAAAATAAAATAAATAAAATTAAAAAAATAAAAGGTCATTTAAAAAAATCCTGGCTGTTACAACGGACACACCACACCCTTTTGATTTTCCTTCATTCAGTCTTGTGCCCCCCAGCCTGTGAAGTCTGGGCTCAGTATTTCCAGCCCAACCTGCCTCTCTGTCCCAGGGGCTGCAGTGGCTGGGACCCTGCCTGTTCAAGTTAGGCTCTGAGGACTCCGTCGAGAAGCAGTCACTGCCTCTTGTCTTCCCAGACACAAGGAACAAGCAGATTCTCTCTTCTTCTCAACTTTTTTTCTAAATTTTTTTTTTCACCCATTTTTTGGGAGGAGAGAGACAGAGCATGAATGGGAGGGGGCAGAGAGAGAGGGAGACAGAATCGAAACAGGCTCCAGGCTCTGAGCCATCAGCCTCCAGAGTTCGGCCGCTCAACTCCCGACCGCGAGATCGTGACCTGCTGGAAGTCGACGCTTAACCATCATTTTACCCAGGCTTCTCAACTTTTTTTTTTTAACGTAGGTTGAAGGTTTTAGGTGACAAAGCGCGAAGCGGGGAGGGGCGGAAAGCAGGGAGACAACTGGCAGGCTCCAGGCTCCCAGCTGTCAGCCCAGAATTCCTGACGCAGGGCTTGAACTCATAAACTGTGAGATCACGACCTGAGCCGAAGTTGGACACCTAACCGACTGAGCCACCCAGGCGCTCCAGATTTCTCTTTTGTTTTTCTAGTTGAAACGGGACTCCCAGACCAGCCACTACGCTCCCGAGGGACTGGTCCATGATGATCCATCCCTGAAGACCTCACTCAGGTAAGATGATGACAACAGCACAGAAGACACTGGTCCCTGAGTGCTGGGCACACACAACGTTTGTGGGGAGCTGCCCATGGCCCCCTGGGAAGGCTGGGTGACACAGGGCAGCTTGGGGGTGTTCCAAAAAACAGGAGGCAGGAACTACCATCTTCGAAACCCCCTCCCGGAGCAGCCCCACCCCAACCCCCAGGAATCACAGACCAGTCAAACCATCAGAGAAGTAGACAGAGAGCAAGAGGGAACTGAAAACCCAGATGTCTCGCACTCCGACTGGCAGCCGGAGGGCCACGTCCAGTCCCGTAGTGATTTTTTTTTTAATTTTTTTTTTTCAACGTTTATTTATTTTTGGGACAGAGAGAGACAGAGCATGAACAGGGGAGGGGCAGAGAGAGAGGGAGACACAGAATCGGAAACAGGCTCCAGGCTCTGAGCCATCAGCCCAGAGCCCGACGCGGGGCTCGAACTCCTGGACCACGAGATCGTGACCTGGCTGAAGTCGGACGCTTAACCGACTGCGCCACCCAGGCGCCCCGTGATTTTTTTTTAATTGGGTTATTGCCAGAGTTTGAAAAAGAATGTGAAATTTCTCATTTCTCTTATTAAAAAAAGAAATAAAAGACGACGTCTCGCATGGCAAGAGCTGGCTGGAGCTGAGTTCCAGCTGCCCCCTAGATGGGGCATGTGGGCCCCCAACTGGCCACAGTCTTCACCCCACCGGCCCATCAAGCCCCTGGAGGCCTCTGACACATCCCTTGTCACAGAGGAGTGGATGACGCCCGGAGGCTGAGCGGCTTTCCCAGTTAGTAACTCATCTGGGACCAAAAAGACCTAGAATCTCAGGCGGGCCACCCAGCACCCACTCCAACCCTCTAAAGGACCTCTGAGATGGCTCCGCCCTGGGCAGCAAAGTGGATTCACCTGCGTGGGGGAGGGGACAGTGGCTCTCTAGGAAACCGGAGGAGCCGGCCAGGGACCAGGCCCATCGCGCTGCTCAGCCGCAGACATGCCCCACTCCAGGGGACACAGGCAGTGAGCCACTGTCTTCGTCCCTCGCCACCGTCCTATCTCCCCCGGTCCCCATCTCTCCTCATCAGCTCTGTGGGTAGGTCCAGGAAACCTGAACGAGTTGTTTGCAGTGGCCGGGCGGGTGAGTGGAAAGGCCTTCAGGGCGAACGTGGGGAGGAGGTGGGCTAGAGGGAGGGTGCGGAGAGAGGAAGGGGAGCCCGGGCAGCCCTCTGATGGGGAGGAAGCTGGGAAAAGAGCAGCCGTGGTTGAGGGGCAGCAGCTGGGTGGGCTCGGTAATGCTGAGCTGAT